CATTTTATCAGATTGACGTCATTTAAACAAGCGGCGTTTAATTTTCCTGATGCTTAAAAGTAGTTCTTCACTGTTCTGATACCAATTAATTATTTCTATGGATTTTTCTGATTAGTCGTTTTTGCTTACTAATAATTTTGCTCTCGTTATCTGAGTCCACTTAAATTCTTTAATAAGCTCAAGTTTAACTAAAACTATCAGCGAGACAAAAGATTATAAATTTACAGTCGCAACATAAAATGACGTGTCTATATTTATAGATTATAAATTAATTAGTCGCAGTATCGATAAGTACAAAACGGTGCCGATAAGAAAATCACAGAATGAAGTAAAGATAGTGTGTTCTCATATTTTCCTAATTCGTGAGAGCTTGAATGCAACAGTGTTTAAATACCGTCTTTTAGGTTAATTTTCAGTGTAACACCAACGCTCAGTTCACATTAAAATTTCCCGAATACTTACATTTGTGTAATTGTACATGCTTCATTCGAATCTGGCTTGATAAATTTGATAAAATCTACCGTTTTGGAGTTTTTAACAGTAAAATTTCGGATTCATTCGCGCTGTTGGCGGCAGCTATTACTGTCCTTCTTTGCGGACATTCGCTGCTGAAAGCTAAACGCGGAAGAATGTAGTTAACAGGCTTTTTTTTTTTTACTGATCCTACTTGTCTCAATTACTGCCAAAGCAAACTATTTACGTACACACGCTCAATTTTGCGCTGCGTTCGCAATATTCAAGGTAAGTGAATATTACTGATAGCTATTCTGTAGCGAAAAGCTGAATAGGTTTTTGCTAGGGACCAAAGAAACAAGTCTAGCGTTATCCCCCATGGATTATTGTATCTCAACTCCAAACACACTATTCATCAACTTCTTTGCAAAATTGATCGAAGCAATATTTCTTCAAATCAATCATTTGTTTCTCGAGAAGAGGTCATCCTGCCAATCATACCATATAAACAGCATCGAGATTTTTTTTTCGACTGGGGAAGCTAAGAGGAGGCACAGTGGAGTAATGGATAGCGGCTTGGATTGAGGAATCGGAGAGCAGAGTTCGAATTCCAGTCGAATCCATTACATTCACTTGCGTGCTAACACCCTTGGGAAAGGTGTGAATCTTCTTTCTTCTCCCTCCAGCTATGGGTAAATAGCAGGACAGACTGGGTTCTATAGCCTTGGATGGCAACTGGTCTAGGAGAAGGAAAACTGAATTCAAACCTGCTCTTAGAGGAGGGTGAATGGAGTCTCTCTGAGCCTTGGTTGGCAATCCATTTAGTGATGGTGTCACGATAAAAACACCCTTGATAGCCCTAGCGAAGCATCAAGAATTCAGCTACTTGACAAGATTATGAACTACACCAATCAAAGTATTAGTGAGTTCAATCTCGGCTGAGGCCGCAAGAAGATGAAGTTCTATGCGTTGTTTCAATCAGCCGCTCCTAAAAATAAATTTTCCCTTTTATACTTACCTAGTAAAGTGCGACATATATAACAATTCTGAAAGTGAGGAGGTAAAAAGTAGATTCATAGGTGTGCTTCCAAATGATATATATATATATTGTGTCTGTTAAAGAAAAACAGACCACTTTAACTTTCCATTATAATATTTTTTCACCAGAGCCCCTTTTAAGGGACGCTGGATTATCGGTGGTCTGTTTATTTATATATATATATATATATATATATATATATATATATATATATATATATGTGTGTGTGTGAGATTTTTATATATCAAGAACAATTTTGGAGGAAAGATGTATGACAAAATAAAAAAATTATATTGTGACACCTTTCGTCCCTCAGAACTTATTTTGGACCGGGTTTGTTCATGTTGATGCGACTACACATGCGCACGAACGAGGGACGCTGGGAGTTTTGAATTTAAAAAAAATATTTTTGCGTTTTGGTATATAATCTAGCCAGTTTCATTTAAATTTTGCTTCCATCATCATTTTTATTAAATAGCCCACATTGTGGCAACAAAAGTACGAAGCGAATTTTTTTTCATTTTATCATGTTTCAGAGATATATATATATATATATATATATATATATAAGCACTCTCTCTGATATTGGACACCTTTCCTCTATAAATATAGCAAATTTTAAACACACACACACACACACATATATATATATATATATATATATATATATATATATATATATATATCTATCTATCTTTATCCAATCCAAGAAGGAAATTCGGATTACCAACACACAAACAGAGAATGTCTCATATCGAGAATATTTAACATTGAATATGAGGAAAAATTAATTATTTTTAATAATATATGGAAATCTCCACTTTTACCTGAAGACGGTCGCGAGACCAGAAACGCGTGTGGTAAAATTATGTAAAACAAAGCATAATATTTTTTCTAAATAAATCCACATTACAACCAAAAACGTTAGCGGCACCTCTCTTCTCTTCTTAATATACATACTTTTCTCTCGTTGGAACCACTACATTATATTTCTTATATATATATATATATATATATATATATATATATATATATGTACTCTCTCTCCGATATTAGGTACTTTTCCTCTATAAACATAACCAATTTTCAACATATGAGATAACTATATATATTTTGATTTATCCACAACAGTATTGGGGAAAATTTATTCATTAAGGTGGGAAAAAAGTTTACTTGTAACACGTTTCGTCCTTCAGGACTCCATCTAGGCTCGATAAATTACTCTAAATCCCTCAAAAACCTCTTCATTGTATGTCCTTGTGTGATCCAGCTAATGCTCGTGAGGTACGGCTAAGGGTCAACAAGCAGCCGTGGTTCTTCCGAGGTTATCCGTATACTTGGATGAGTATCGCCGCGGAACAGAGTGAGTAGCGCCGCTATATATGAGTCTAGTTTGTGTCTTCTTCGTCAGCGACGGCCATGGTACAGTTGCTATGACGTTTGCATTGGATCGAAATGATCCGGGTTCGATCCTCGATTTTTATTGAAAATAGTACTTAGTTTACTATCTCTAGGAAAGTGCTTAACGATTAATGCAAGTAATTTTTGTCCTAATTTGTTCTTTACCATTTGGTTGTATGTGGATGTATACCAAATTATTTTTCTTCTGTTTTTTTTTTTTCTATGCTTTCCATTTTCCTTTTTTATAAAAGTTAGTGGCTACAAAAACCCAGAACTAACATTTAAAGCTTTATTATAGAAATTAATATTTGCTGAATTTATACTTATTCTTTTTTTTTTCGATAGATAAAGGTATATGCTTAATTATAAATGGAGGATGATTTGATTTAGGGTAGGTACCTCCACGAGATCGCTAAAAAAAAGAGTATAGCATGATGAAAAAGACGCCAAACTTGACAAAAACAAAAATTTATCGTCTAAATGTTTATTATTAAGAGGAAAGATCAAAGGACACTTAGGAAAGCCGATGCGGCTTTTAACTAATTTTATAATATTTTAACAACTTAAATGTAAAATCTATTATAATTAAAGAAATAACAAATAACTGTATTAAAAATTCATTTTTCATCGAAAAAAATTTTTTGCTTTCAGAAAATATTGTCCATATTCATAAAAACTAAAAGCAAATAAAAACATTTGAAATTAAATAATATCTTTGTTTTATTGAGTTTTGTATGTTACAATTCAGAGCTGATTTTCAAGTACTGCGGATCCAATTAAAAACAAAAAAAAACATGATTTGCATTCCTCAAAGCCCTGTGCTTTTAATTATTGTAATCACTAAACCCGATGCGATCGAATTTCTAGCGTTTTCATAAAATTAGTTATGGGGGGGGTAATAAATATTTAAAAAAATATTTCTACCATGACTTTAATAAAAAAAAATATATTTATAATTTCGATCATCTGTGAATAGTTCCTGGAAAGTTTCCTTAACATCCGACAATTATTTCTATTTTTGCACGATTTTTCAAATTAATGTGTCATACCAAAAAACGTGCTAAAATTGTCTGTTATTCACTAGTTCCGCTGATACAAATAGAAACAAGGTTTTTTAATCAAAATTTAGAATCCGTAAAAAAGAAGGAAAATTTTTTAAAATAATTAAACAAAACTTTGGTCTTTCCTCTTAATAATAACATAAGCAGTTAGATAATAAAATTTTGATTTCGGCAAGGTTGGCGTCTTTCAACAAGCTATGATTTTTTTTTTTTTTTTTTTTTTTTTTTAGCGATTTCGTGGAGGTACCTAAATTAATGTTAAAGAAACAGTAAAAACCAAGTTGTCAAAATCGACGATAAATCGGTTGATAAAATTCAAAGAATACCATGCAGACATTGTCAAATATAATACTTTAGGATTCTGTGCGTCTAAAATATGTTACTATTCCCTATATTGGATTCGTTTATAAATGAAAATTGAATTTGTACTAAGTTTGCACAATAAAACCTGACGCTCCAAAAAGAAAAAAAACAATAAATAATTCAGTATTTTTAGAAGTTAAACATTTTATAAAATTTCATTAAAACCTAAACGTTTCTTTATAATTATATTATCAGCTAAAACTCATCCAATATATTGCTCAAATATCTCAACGTTTTACTGATATTGATTAGTTAAAACTAATTTGATTGTAAAAGCATTAACTTGCCTTATAAAACCTAATACAATATAGAAAAACAAAAATATACACTTATAATACTTATATGCGATCAAGTGTGTGTATCTACATGTGTGTACATATGCACGTACATAAACAGAACGCTATATTTTCCTATTAATTTATCAAGCGTTTCACAAATCCGAGGAAATTTTTGTATACTCAAAAATAAGGTGACTATGGAGATAAAGAGAGATGTGGAGGAGTTTCTTGTACACACACACACACACACACACTGTACTTTATATATAAGATATGTATAAATTTGTTATTGTATAGGCTACAATGTGGGAAAAATAGGTTATGTAGTGCCAATGGTCTAAATTTCAGGCGTTCAGAACTCTTTCCCCCTTTACCATTCCCCTCCATTTAAAACGATATAAACAGAACTTTGATCTCCCTCCTCTTTTTTCCCTCTTTCCTCCCTCTTTTATATCCCCTCCCTCTCTTTTTCCCCTCCCTATTTCCCTTTTCCCTCCCTCTCTTTCCCCCCTCCCTCCCTCTTTTGTTCCCTCCCTCTTTTCCCCCTCCCTCCTCTCTTTTCTTTCCCCTCTTTCCATCCCCTTTTTTTCCCCTCCCCCCCTTTCCCTTCAATTTTCCCTCCCTCCTCTTTTCCCCCTCCCTCCCTCTCTTTTCCCCCTCCCTCCCTCTCTTTTCCCCCTCCCTCCCTCTCTTTTCCCCCTAACTTCTATTTTTCTGCTTATCTCTATTTCAATATATATTTAACTATATAGTTTTTTATCTCTATTTTTTATATTTAATACATTTTGTTATGTATTTGAATAGCTTGGACAATGTGCCTTTGTGTGTAGCGTTTAATCAATCCAACCTATGTTCTGTTGAAACAATTCAGTTTTTTCTTCTCAAAATCTTGTTTCTTTTCTCCTTCGAATTTTTCAGTAGGAACTGCTTATCATTTTAATCAAAGATTTTTATTCACAGAACTGAAATAAAAACCCCAGAAAACAAACCCCGAAATAAGAGAAAATGGTTGTAAAAAGCAAAAATAAACCGTCACTGAGAATGGTTGTAAAATTGAAATCTCGTCCCACCGAGAAATGTCGAGATTAATGACGTGTCGTCTCTCTGCTGTTTTGTTGGCTCTGAGGGACCTTAAATCAAAATGGCCGACATATTGAAAAAAACAAGTGTTTGGAATTCTCTTTCATTTGCTCACCAAAATTTGATGCTCAAGTTTGTCTCTAGATACTTGCTTCGCAATTCCTCATTCAATCATTCCTGACCGATGGCTCGATGAAATCGTCTACCTTTATTTTTTTATTTTTATTTTTTTTTAATTCTTTCTTAATACTTGTCTACATTTTAGTTACAATTTATTGTTTTTTTTTGGGGGGGGGTTGTTTTTTTAATTTGTGTGTTTATTTGACTAAACTCATTTCTATATCGGCGATTTCCTCAACTATTTACAAAAGCAGGAAGACGACACATAATTTTTTATGCTGTAAAGCAATTTTTATATGCCTGCATAAATGTAAACTTCCTATGAAATTCTAATGTATGATATTGATTACTGAGCTAGTCTCTTAGACTGAGTTTCGTAAAAAGGATCTCGCTTATATATATGTATGTATATAAATAAAAAGAAAGAACAGTAAGATATATAATCCGGTGTTCTTATAGATATTTTTATTTTTACAAAATAGTGCTCAATATAATTTACAGAGCATTAATATTATAAATTAATTGATTTAAAATGTTTTTTTTTTTTTCCGCTACACAGTTCTAACAATGTTTCAAAAATGGAAGCTAAAAGCAACGAATTTAATTTTGTAATTAAAGACATTAGTTCTATTTCTTCCTCAAACGAATTTTGGAGTAACTTTTAAAATTACTGGGTTTTAAAGACACAGCTAAAATCATAATTTTAGCTTCTATTTTTGAAACATGGTTAGAACTGTGTAGCGGAAAAAAACATTTTAAATCAATTAATTTATAATATATATATATATGTGGGGGTGGAGAAAGTGATAGACAAATATCTACATGCACAAGGTTTGTTCATAAGTTAACCAGCAATTTAATATTAATTATACTAACTGGGGTAATACTGCAGTAGTCTCCTTGAAACCTCAGACTAGTCTAACATCCCTTTTCATACTTTCTCGAATCTGTCTTTTCAACATTACCATTGGCTAAGGCACCTCGTTCTGCTTAATCTCATCAGTCGTGTGACATCTTTTAAATAGCCGTTTTATTTTTGGTGTTTGCTTGTGTTGTTTGTTTGTTTTGTTTGTGTTGTTGTTGTTTTAGTTAGCCTATTCTTGAGGTCCAGATTTGGCTTACTGACAGACATGAGTGATAAATTCCTTTGCCAAGACAATTAGCACGAAAACAGGTGTTTTATTATTTTTATATCACTGCATATATGTATGTTCGCTTGGCGTGTGTATGATTGCGTATGAGTATCGGAAAAAATGTATGAGAAAATTCCACCTGTGTCTATATTTCTGAGATGTGGTATTATGTACACTATTTATATTATTTGGAATATTGTCCTTATCTATCTTGTCCTATTTATCAAGATTTCGGCCGTTGTACACTCCGGTCTTTTTCAGGTAGTTGGAATGTCGAACTAAACCCTTTCTTTCACTCGCTGGGGTATTAACAGGAGATAACTGATAACTGACATCCATTAGAAGTGGAACTAGAACAGTCTACCTCAACAAGCGAAATAAAGGGTTCAGTTCGACATTCCAACTACCTGAAGAAGGCCGAAATGTTGTGATAAATATGGCAACAAAGATAAGGATAATAGTTCGAATAATGTAAATATTGTAAAATTCCCCCTTTATTTTACTCTCTCCATTGCAACAAATTCAATTGCTTCAAACTCGAAAATGAGTAAATTATCGATTCGAAATCTCATCGAATTCTGTGATTTTGCTTCATTCTAGGCCAAACATTTTCTTGCCTTCATAGACACCATCTTTTTTTAAATCCTTTTCATCTTTTTTTAATTCTTTATTTCTTTCCATTTTTTCTTTTTTATTTTCATGTAATATTTTTTTGTTTCTCTTTTTTTTTCTTTTTGCTTTCATCAGAAAATTTTCTCTTGAAGTATAGTAAATACGAAAACATCTTTTGCCTGTTTATCATTTTAACAAACCAAAAAGTCCAATGAAAGATTTTTCATATTTGTCAAACATGTCGACGTTGAGCGTGACATTTTCCATTGGTAATCTTTATCAATTGTAAAAAGATCAACTTTTCCGTTTTATTTTCTAATCCAATGTTTTTAAAGCTGCCTTTTAAAAACAACTGCTTAGTGTTTAATAACCAAATATTAAGCTTCAATCAGATATTTACAAATATTTGTATGAGTGATGCATACGTTGCATCAACGTCTTTCAGAAGAGTTATAACGATTACAAATTATGTAATAACGAAAAAAAGTCTTTGACTATTATGTTTTTGTTCTGGTTTTAAATAGTTTATTATTGAATTATAATGGAACGTTCTTCATAGAAATTGCACTTTCTTATTGCACATGAAACTGTATCTTCAAGAGTTTTTAAATTTTATTATTCCATTGTAATATTCTGTCTACTTTTGATAAGTGGAATGTATTTTGAAACCAATTAATAGAAACAGATCTGGAAATGTTAAATGTTTCGCGACGATTATGGACAAAATCACAAACTTAGTAAAATTGAAAACTTCATCGCTGTTTGGGATAATTGTTTGTCGGAGACTTTAATTTGAAACAGCTTTCTTATCAAAACTCTTAATCCGAATTAAAAGCAATTATACACATCCAATCAAGAGTCTTATCAATCAAATCAGTTTCTCTTTTTAATCATCCACTGTTATAAACGAAAAACGGTTGCGACAGATTTTATCTCATTAGCTTCTTGATTCTAGGTTGATTGAAATGTGAAAAATATATAGACAACGTTTATTTCAAGATTTTCGAATAAAAAGTCCCTATTATCAGTCTGTATATATGTGAGCACACATCGCTTACCATAGAGTGCAGACATCAATTTTCAGTTTTTTTTTTTCCTCGTAAGCGATCCGCATTTAACCAAACCATCTCACTTCTTCCTACTGAGGCAGAACATTAAGAGCGGGCTGAAAAATTCATAGGCTGACTATGGGGGAACAAATGCTAGAGCTATGAAATCTTGAATGCATTAATTTAAAGTCTTATTAATAACTGCATTGTTTTTTTGGGGGGTGGGGGTCCAGGTAAATTTACATTTGACTGTTCAAAAACTGCTCATCCTGTTATCAAAAAATTAATCGACAGTGGATATGACGTCATAGTCACTGCACTACTGGTTCTCAGCCATATTTTTTTTTTTTTTTTTTTTTTTTGTTAGAAAACAGATGATAGTCCTATCAAGAGAATAGGGAGAGTGATCAACCAACCATGGACAAGCACAGCAGCCATTGAAAACAAGGACTTGTGGGCTGGAGCACCCTCTTGATGAAGCAAGATCATCAGTTTTCTGAGGCGTCTGGTCTTAATAGTCATTTGTCACTGTATCAGCAAATTGAAATAATACTCTCCATTGATGGTGTGGCCTTTTTTTAAAGATATTTAATAAACACAATCCCTTTACATACAAATAAAACGACTATAAACTTATTTGAAGCAGGTGAGAAGGGGTATTTCCACTACATAGATTGTCTCTTTGTCTCTATCCGAAAGGGATGAACCCAACACTCATCCTGGGTTAGAAAACGTTCCAGGAAACCAGCCGACTCTTCCTGTGATGTGATCAGCCTGATGTGCGTCTGATTAAGTGCCAGAAGACGTGCCAACGACAGAGCAGAAACCTTCGCCATGCCAAGTTTATTGTGTAGCATACTCTCGACTCTCACGTGATATGCTAATAGTATTAGCTGTTTTATGTACTCACCATTCATGTCCATGTAGTGAACACCAAATGTTTTCCTTAGTGATAGCAGTGACAGCACATCCATCCTTGGGTCATCTACATGACTTTCCTTTCCCCTCCTAAATTCAGCTATCCACTTTGGCACTGTTGATAAAACTTAGGTACCTTCACGAGATCGATAAAAAAAGAGCATAGCATGATGAAAAAGTCGCCAAACTTGACGAAAACAAAATTTTATCGTCTAATTGTTTATACTATTAAGAGGAAAGATCAAAGTATTTTTGGAGTACTTTTTACATTTTTTATTCGTTCCTAGCACGACCGAAATTTTCGTTAAAAATCTTGTTTTTTGAGTCAGCAAAATTGACAGATAATCGATTATGGCAACCATTTTTTCCATTTTATAAAAAAAAATGAAAATCTCGGTTTGAAATTCTTTTAAAAATCAATTTACATTTTTTCAAAACTTAAGAAAATAAGAAATTATAATATTTAAAATAACTTGAACCAAGCTTAACTTTGTTTCTGCGCCGAAAAGATGTAATTTGAAAATAAAACAAAGCAGGTTATTTAAACTTTCGCGTCACTTGACAGGTGATGAATGATATATTGACGGATTCCGTGAGGATAATTTGTTCGACGGAGGGGGGAAAGTGAAATTTAGATTTAAATGAGCAAATTACTTACCTCGTTATTTTTAAGGAAAACTTTCAGCACCCTAATTTTTTTTTTTTGTTATCTTTCACCTTTACGTTTACGATGCTTTATGAAAAATATATTATAAAGAAATTAAAGTAAAAATTAAGTGAGATTAAATTTC